GGGGGGGGCATGTGGCGGGGGCGGCGGCCGCATCGTGGAGAGTTGTACACCTACACGGTTCGCAGTTCTGCGGGCGGTGTCCCGCGCCTGCAGGCAGGGCGCGGTGATTTTGCTTGCGGGCGGGGCGGGCCCGGCCGGGTCGTTGTTTCTAACTGAAGCCGCAGAACAGCAACAAACGGCGGCGCCGCCCGCCATGCCCTTGCCTTTCTTTGCTTCGCCGATTCCGCCGCCTCCTCCACTCCTCCTTCTCGGGTGGCGGGCACCCTTCACAACTCACCCTGTGGCGCACCCGCCCTGCTCGGTGGCGCCCCTAACTACAACCTCGGTGGCGCAAACCTGCCCCCCCGCCCCACCTCCCGACCACACGCCTCCGCTGGGGCCGCGGGACCGTGCTGCTCGTATATAACCGCACGGCACGACTGCTTCGAAATGGTCTCGTTGAGACCCGCATCGTGTTAAAGCTAGAAACGGAACTTGATGACTGATGAGGATTTTGATGTTATTTATACTTCGCGCGTGCGTACTTTTGAATTAGTTAAAGTCTTATTTGCACATATGAATACTATTCTCGGGCGGATATAAACATGAGGCATAGTGACACTGATTATTTGAATGGCACCGCTTAGTTTTTCTAGTGGTGGTTGAATCATTAATTTTCATTCACTCTGAATATTTTCATCCTATTAGCTCAATTTATTGAATTAATGGAATCCCTCTTCATGCCTAATGAATGGCTGAAATTCTGAGATAAATTCATTTTGTAAACTTAAAAATTTTTCAAAATATTTGAATTAAATATCTGAAAACATAAGTTTTCATATGAGAAGTCTCAGAAGTGCAACAGGTTTTCACAGGAAGTATTCGGCCCAATTTCAATCAAATATATTTATGTTACCAATAAATGCGGGTCATGCCAATAACATCCTAGTATATTATCTATATAGTAAAATATTATCGATCATTCTTCAAATCAGTGAGAATTGATATTTTAGAAACGTATATTGATTACATAAAAAAAGCTTCTATTGGAATCGTCATCAGGATGTCTGCACTAAAAAAAGGGCGCGCTTCTGTGGGAACCTGTTGGCGCTTCGCTTTTCGTCCGCGGCGCGGCGCCTGCGTCGCGCCTGTCGACACTCACCCAAGTCGCTGGTACAGAAGGCGCGGGACATCTCCTCCTTGGTACAGGGCCGGCACTCTGCAAGCACAAAACAAACGGTCGTCAGTCAGGGCGAAAGGCACACTAGCCCTGCAGGGTGCTGTTGGATCGGTGTGCAAACGCTGTGGGGAATAAGTGCTTCTAGGAAAGGAAATGGTAATAGACATTGGAAGAGTCGAGTTTGCTTTGGAGGCACAGCGATATCTTAAGACTAACTAAACCTAAGTTATGTTTGAATGGAAGACAGAGAGATCTCGGTTGATCAGGAAACATCGCGGCAATTTCCTCGACGATTCGACAATAATACTCGCATGTCGTATGACGTCTCAACGAAATATCAATGTCGAAATGTTGTTTAGGACGCGACAATAATAATATCGAGGCAATAATAATAATAATAATAATAATAATAATAATAATAATAATAATAATAATAATAATAATAATGTATTTCTGTCGAGGCTCAGGATCGGCCTACAAGGACTCCAGATACAGGTTTTGATGATCTTTCAACGAACAGGAACACGCATATTCACCATTATTAGATGCAAATTTTGAGTGCGAATATAGTCATTTTTTAGTTACTGAATATTTCCTGTTGCTCTCACTTTCCCTCCAAACGTTTTAGAGAATCTTTCTAAACTGAGACATTTTTAGTTGCATCGCAAACCACACCGTTCATTTCTCAATATATTCTAATAACATATTAGAATTCATAATTTTTTTTATACTTTATGGTTATCATACCTCTAAAGGTATGCTATAATTAGAATTAAATAACAATTGATTTTAGATGGGAAAGGTAGTGGTAAAATATCCAGTTACCCTTCGTACCGTATACGGTACCTTTGACCATTCATTTCAAATGGGCCATAGGGCTCATGTTTCCCAACAGACAGCTCTTAACGAACAAACGAGTCAGGCCCGACAACTTATTCTAACTAATGGGCACACTCATGGAATTAACGCGTCAACTTCATCAGAGTTAAATTCTTCGAAGCGCAGCGAAAGCGCCCCACAAACTTTACTGCTTGTCGTCGCGTCTTCTGGGCGCGCGAGTCCGTACGGGAACGAATGCCGAAATAATGACCGGGGACACCAGTATGGCGCCGTTTGTCATCTGATTAGAACAGATGGGTCCCTCTCGGAGGAAACTCGGAGGAGACAGCGAATATCAGAAGAAATATACAACACGCTCGCACAGGATGCGGAGAATATTCCGGGCTAGGCGACGATCGTACAGACCGTTTTCGGAGAGAAAAAACGCTTCTTTATCGTAAGCAAACGCGAAGGACATATTAGCTTCGCCCTTTACTGAACGTCGGATCATAAATTCAACAGACGTTGCTTTACGCCTCGTTTATTCCGAGTGGCATTCAAGCAACACGCTCAAGGAACATACACATCACACGTGCAGCAGCAAGTGGGCCAATTCTTGTGGGGCTAATCTAATAGATTATTCTGGCGATACACGCGAGCCTGCTGGCATCACGCACAAGAAGAAAGAAAACATACGCTTTCCAAGGACCGGAAGATCCTGATGAGATAACGTTTTCATAATAGGGTTTTGTCGAGAGCATGTTACATGCGCCCGTTTATCTCTCAGAGTGGCGCTGAGCTTAAAATCGGAATTATAGTGTTTATGTCCTGTTCAGAGTTAATGTATCATTTTCATTGTTTAGACAGTTTGCAATTATACGTTTTGCTGGTCCGGATGGCCGAGAACGCAGTAGAGCCGTAGCGATCTCGAACCGAAGGATAGCGGGTTCGAGTCCCGCCTCGGGCATGGTTGTATTGTGTCCTTTCACGCCCTATCATCATATCGTGTCATCCTCACAGTTACCATACCGTTACAAGCAATAGTAGTTGCTAATGACCTAGTAGTTGATGCGACCTTAATAAAAAAAAAAAAATTATAAATTTTAAGAACTGGTCACTGCACATTTAAACTCATAAAATATTATTATTGATGATTAGTTGTTTAATGACAAGAAGAGACGTACCTTTGTACAACACGAGTTTTTTGATTTCTGATGTTTAGCACGTTTCTACCATTCAAACATTCGCAAAGTTAATTCCCTTAACTCCCACTATTGTGAAGTAGTGAATTACTATCGTTAATTCTATCGTTACTATCGTTAATTCAACAGACGTATGGTTTCACAACGAACGCCGAGAAGTAAATGCACGATCGGTAAACCTAGCAACTGAACAACTTTAACGGAGTCCTTCACAAATAAACAGCTTCCAGCGGCAGAAAACCTGCTGCGTCCTATTTTCCCTGACCCGCCGCACCTCTCGAGTGCCTGTCGCTGGTCCCAGACTTCTCAATTGCACTCCGCGGAAGAACAGCGCGCGAAAGTAATACCATCTGCGGCCACCGACGCCGCCACCGTCGCCATCCTCACGGGACCGCAGAGGGCCGCCTAGTCGCTCGTCCGTGACCAGAAACCGCTACCGCATGTAACCGAACATCTCTTCTCACCTACGAGGCAGACGCAAGTAAAATTACCACGTGGGCCGGTTTTTTTACACCTCGACGCTCTGAAAGAGACTGGTACAAATATTCTGGTGCCCCACGCCGCAGCAATTGGCGCGCCTGGCCCGTAACCGAACGCGAACCACGCCGCGCACAGTTAAGGTATGTTGTTGAGTTCGCGCGGCGCGAAGTCGCAGGCGATTTGTTACGCACCCCCCAGTAAACAACATTCGCACTCTGGGCCAATTGGAGCGTCGCCAAATCATATGGAAAACGGCGATTCGGTCGACATCGCGACAGGACGTGCGCGGCCGCCGGGACAAACACTGCATTCCGCGGACCAGTCCGACACCTTTCCTTAAGCGGATCCGCGCGGTCGCAGCGTATCTACCAGAACGACCAGAGGAAAGTACAAAGGGAACGCCGCTCCAACTACAGATATTTCGACTCCCCCAATCGCCTGAACTTTCTGAAACCTTTGACTGGTGGACCTCAAAAAAACCGTGACTATCTGTTTACTGCTGAGGATGATTCACGCCTTAAAAGTTGCAGAACGTCACAAAATCGAGAAATGGCCGATATATTCTAGAAACGAACCATTCATAGGTGTTAAAAGTCACTGGAGATGCTGTCATAACGACAGTCCAGAATTTCACCATCGCCTCGAAGTCGATGCACCCTACAACTAGGCATCTTGGAATCTCGTAACAATGTCCGGCGAGGTGTTATGGACTGAAATCGCTTATGCGCTAAGTCGCTAGCCCGGAGTTGCTCAGACATCTCCGAGAATCGCCGACTAGATTATCCAGTCTCCCGCTGCACAGTGGGCACAACACACTAAGAACGAACGTAACAAATCTGCCGTGATTTTCAAAGAAGTTTATTTTTTCAACTGAAAAAAGCTATTTAAAAACAGAGTAACATACATATGGTATAAACACAGTAATAAAACATTCATTTTTATAAACTATTTTCAAAGTTTTAATTTATTTGCAATGTTTATTTTCATGACGAGAAAAGACACTAAATGTCACAAGCAGCAATTTTTATTCTATAGCCAGAAGAAGGTGTATGTTACCAAAGATGCGTTCCTTTTCGAATGACTTGTCAGAACCAACAGATGTATCGAATAAATAAAACCTTTTACTATTGGTATTGAAAACAGCATTCCGTAAACAAAATTAACAGTAATTGAAAAAATACGTAACTTAAGTTAAAAAATCAGCCAGATTGTCAAAGCGGAACAATGACAGGCATGTATTATTGCGCTGTGATCTCATGATATTCCTAAACATATTACACAAAATTTCAAATGATATGTTACATAAAATTAAAACAAACTTAAACTAAATCTTTAATAGCTTAATGTCCCAAAGAATATGCATTTAATTTTCTTATCAAACACTTTTGGAAACTAATTTATCGCTTTCTACCGAGCCATTTTATTTGTAACTTTATTGTACGATTTTTTTGAAAATGTGCTCTTCCAGCCTTCCGCTGCGATTGGCTTTCGGGGACAGTGTGCGCCGTGGCGGGGTCTCTGCCGCCGCGGGCGCGTGGACCAGTTGGGCCGGTCTGTTGGCGCGCCCGCCCGCCCGCGCGGGCCGCTGTCTCGCTCGCCGGAATCGTGTCGAATCTCCCGATATAAAACGGCCCCGGAGTACTACGACCGGCGCGTCGAGGAGCGCGCCACACGGAATCTGCACCCAACGAAGCGAAGGGCGAACGCCACCTCGGCGGACACGCAGCTCGTATTCGGGGATTGTGCGGACTTGTGTGCGTGACACGTGAGAGAGAGAGGGAGAGAGAGAGAGAGACAGACAGAGCACGAGAGAGCGAAAGAGATCGAGACAGCGGGGTGAGGGGGAAAGAGGGGTGAGGGAGAGAGGGGGAAAGAGGGGGAGGGAGAGAGGCGGAGAGAGAGGGGGAAACGGACAGAGGGAGGAGGGAGAGAGAGAGGGGAGACGGAAGGAGTAGGGAGAGAGGGGAGAAAGGGGGAGAGAAAGGGGGAGAGAGAGAGGGGGAGAGAGGGGAGAGAGAGGGGGCGGGAGGCGCGAAAGAATGTGAGTACGTATGCATGTATATATCCTTGTGTGTGTGTGTGTGTGTGTGTGTGTGTGTGTGTGTGTGTGCATGAGTGCATGTACGCTGGAGTGTTGAGCTGAGAATATGTGTGGATATGCGCGCGCGCGCACATGTGTGTGTGTTTTGTGTTGTGTGTAAGCGAGCAGTGTAGTAGGGCGGTGTCCTCAACGGCAACAAGGTTGGGAAAAGACATTAAGAAATTTCCGTTGGTTTAACGTCCTTATAAACTAGATGTCCTTCATTCGACTTTTTATAACGTTCACAACAGAAAAGGTCATTTTGACTTGACGAAATACATTTGGTGCGTGAATTAAAATACACGGAACCGATTAATCTTTCTCAACGTCCTCCACGCTAAAAAAAATTAATGAACAGAAAAGTACGAAATCTACCAGAAACACTTTTAAATACACTCTAAAAATATAAACTTAATATTTATATTCCAATTATGTACATTTTTTCTGTACCTAGATAAATATTCCACTACTTTGAGACTGTCTTTAGGATTCTATTAGATTTTTTTGTCCAGATTTTATTTTAGACAGTCATATGCCGAAATATTAAAAAAAAACGAAATATTAATAAAAAACATCATTCAGATTGAAATTTTATTGTGAAGTTCTGTTAATTTCTGAAACATATTTGTAGAAAAGCAGTTGGAAACGTGCAAGATCGAATAATTGCTGAACCCAACATTTTCATTGCATAAATACCCAGAAGTACAGTACGTAACGTATTGACGTCATAGGCATCCGCGGCCAGAGTCATGATCTGGGCTGTCCGGGTGACGCCGCGTCGATGATTGAGGTGCCTACAGGGCTTGCACGTCAGGGCTGTACTGCCTGAAGAGGACCGCGATATGTCGGTCGAAATGTCGGCACCTCAGCCATCGACGCGGCGTCACCCGGACAGCCCAGATCATACATAACGAATTCCCGGATGGGCGCAAGACCCACGGTTCGTGCCGATGTGCTCCGGTCCTCTTCCACTCCGTGGATTGGACACGCGGTTTTTGGCCTTCGACCTTCAACGTCCCGCGGCCAGCGTCCGCCTTCTTCCTCGCTTCTCCACGCTCGCGATGTTTTGCGTCGAACGGTTTCGGGCGGAGTTAGCGGGAACAGAATACACCCACTCGTTCATGGAAGGCAACGCTTAATGGAAGGAACTGCTCGAACAAACTCCGCCTCCCAAGTTCAGGAATGCTACACAATGTAGACACATCCTACACGCAAAAAACCCTCATTTCTCGCAGGGAGAAAGACTAGTTCTCAGCCAATACAAAACTTTGCTGTAAAAAGGCAGTTGTTTTGTAGTCAAAAGCACTGTTGAGTTACTCTTGTAGTCAAAAGCAACATACACGTATCTCTTTTACGTGATACTACCAATACAAAACGTTGCTGGAAGCAAGCAGTTGTTTTGTAGTCGAAAGCAATATTGAGTTACTCTTGTAGTCAAAAGCAACATACGCGTATCTTTTCTTACACAATACTGCAAAACGGAGGCAATATAAATAAGAGCCGATCCTATACTGAATTATCACTTGTTAAAATGTTTAGAGATAAAAATGAAGGAAACTGACGTAACGAGAACCACATGGCAAACACGTCATAAGAACAACAAATACATCAAATAAACGACGTATTTTAGAGTATCGAGTCCCTAATGTTTGTCAATTATTAACACTTGTCACAACAGAACAGCTAACCTAAACTTATCTACCGTGCCGATAGCCATTGACCAACACGACAACTTGAGGCAAGACCCGTTACTTCACGGAATGCACTATGTCGCGGGATGCCTCCCGAATTAGCACGTAACTTCGCAGCGACGTGCTTACGAAGAGCAAAGCTTTCGCACCGCGCCGAGTGTGTTACTAAGGCACGGGGGTGCCTTGTCACAGGTACAGCGTACCAGGGCCCTGTAACTCCCATATACCGTGGTGGGGACCATTACAGTGGCGCGCTCTAGAGCATCACCTAACACAAACTATAATACGAACTTCTACCAACGTTATTTAAAACGTGCGTGGGTTCTCGGGACGCAAACACACGCGCTTGATACAAAAGATCGCGCCGCTGTTCTCTCTACCTTTTTTGTCATGCGTGTATTATCATTATTATTATTATTATTATTATTATTATTATTATTATTATTATGAATTAATGAATTTTAGAAGATAAACACATATTATTTAACTTCTTTGGTAATCTGTTTTAGAAATCGCTCATAATTAAAGTGTGTTCGTATTTCTTGACCAATGTTTATGTGCGAATGTTGGCGAGCCTGACCACCAGCTGTAGCCAGCGACACTAGCGCATCCTATAGTAGCAACCTCTAGCTTTGCCCCCAATTTTGTCCTGCAGCGTAGCATACATCACCGCGCCGCGTCACTCATCCATCACGGGCGAACAGAGCCGAGCCGAGCCGAATCGAACCCAGCCGAGCCAAGCCGAATCGAACCGAGTCGAACCGAACCGAGCCAACCCGAGTCGAACCGAACCGAGCCGAGCCAAGCCAAATCGAACCGAACCAACCCGAGTCGAACCGAACCGAACCGAGCCGAGCCAAGCCGAATCGAACCGAGTCGAACCGAGCCGAGCCGAGGGCAGACGGAGAGTTCGCACGCGCCCGTCCCGGAACCGCCTCAGACCCACGGGGTCTTCGCCCGCCGCCGAGCGGCATTTGATGGATCGGGGGGCGGCGGCGAGATGGACGCGTGGGAGCGCGGGCGACCGGAGGGCAAAGGGCAGCGCGGAGAGGGCAGGGCGGGCGCGGAGGCGGCGGACGCATAGGCGAAAGCGACGCGCAGATGGTGGAGGATAATGAGAGACGTTCTAATCAACAAGCGCCGTACGTGCCGGAGCTTTTACTGAGCATTTTCCGTGATCTTCGAAGAATCGTGTGTTGTGGTAGAGACTCGCTAAAATGTAAATAAAATCGACGATCTACAGTTACAGTGACCTTTCAAAAATCAAGTTTTGTCCCAACGTGCGTAATGTAAATAACTACCAATTCCATTACTCTTCGAAAACAAGCAATCGAAATGTCACAAATGGCAAAGTCCACAAACGTGTTCTGATATCTTGTTATTTATATGCACTAGTCTTTAGTTTATTATTACATAATATCATTGGGACGGCAAACACAAAATCTTATTTGAAAGATACCGAAAATGAGAACCAATGCGCTAGAATCGTTTCATGTCAATACCGATTTTACGATCCGCCTCTACAATGGGAGCTGAAGAGCTCATTTCCAGACTTTAACACTCGAAATAGCTTGAAATTTTTACAACATAATTAATAATACCGCTGGTGAGGTACATACATTCCAATAATTTGAGGAAAGGTGTTGTCAGGTATCAGTTTTTTTTCTCTTTCGTTTTGGTTTTTTAAATACTTAAGATCTATTTCATTGCCTAGTCATCATCAGAGCTAATCTTGTAATATCTAGGCGAATTACGAAGTTCTGCAGTTTACAGAGAGAGCAACTTCTTTGTTTGTTTTTCTTTTTTTTCGCGACTCGATCGAAAAAAATCTTTATATTGATACCCGATGACACCTTTTCTCAATAAATAAAAATAATAAAAAATCACTATGTCGTTTAATTTTTAATCCAATAGAAAATACCCGAAATGTTTTAATTGCGGCATCCTACATGAAAAGGGTCCCGTGAGAGATAACCGCGCATGCGCGGTTAGCACGGATTGAGACTGTCAGAAGAAGGATGCGGTCAGCGGGAGCCTGGAACCGGAGCCGCTGATGCCGCGTGAGTCTACACAGCGAACTGCAGCATTCCTCCGACGTACGCGCGCTCTCGCGGGCGTAATTATTCGAAAGCTTCGCGAAATTAGCGCCAGGCGGCAGCACCGCAGACGCTGTCAGCCCGAAGAGGAATCGCGAGGTAAGGCTGCGGGGTCGGGTCTGGGATTGCAGCAATTAAAGCCCGCATGCTTCGGTCGTGCTGGGAGGAGCTGGAGCCGTCGTCTTTAGAGGGAAAATGCAACAACCGACAAACGACGACTCTCATTATCCCCCCGCATTCTGTGAAGATCAGAAGAGGGACGTTCTTTGCACAGCGAAGGTCTTTCGCTTACTATTTTTACTGTTGACGACCTTGCATGATACCTGCTATTTCATACTGTTTCAACCGTGTATTGCGAAAGATTGTCATTAACGGAAGAAAAACGCGTAAGGTAAACCTGGGAGTTAACATTAAGACACACTGGTGCGCACACAATTACAGTAATGGCGCTCGACAAACTCTATCACTTTCTCCGCTAGCGTTCTGCGGCGATACGGCGAGAATTAACGGCGATGAGTTGGAGATTTTGGCTTAAGGCAAAATGGCGTGCGATGTCTGGCAGGATGACACGTCGCCACTCGAGGTGAAGTACGTGCTACACTACTGCCTGTTAGCTTTATGAACTTGTTAGGCTCGACAACACTACAAGACGTCTGTTCAACAGGACAAGTTATAAAGATGTAATTTTAAAAATTTAAAAGTATTCACAAAAAAGTAAAGTCTTTTATTTATTATTATTATTATTATTATTATTATTATTATTATTATTATTATTTGCATATGCCAGGTAATGCCTCAGAAATTGTGAGCTCGTGGTCTCAGAAAATATCATACCATTGTTAAAAGGATTCATTTTATAGCGCTGGAGGTGTAGCAATGACTTAATGTCATCGTATACAGGTGTTGTGGTGCGTTATCGTTGACATTTTCCATGAAATAATTATAGACGTCATAATCGAAAGCTGCTCTTATATTAAATACTATTGTTGGCAATGACAACGTCTATAATTATTAGTTAATGTCATCGGCCACTATCGACATGTAAAAAAGTGTAATCAAGACTTCTAGTTTGGGATCATGAAGTTTCTGTAAGAGAATCTGCACGAAAACTGCACCGCGGAGAAAGGCCGTGGCTTGAAACAAAGAGGGAGGTACTTACGCTCCGCAGGGTCGTATCCCTTGGCGCCGCGAGGCAGCGGCTCCAGGTCGTAGGTGAAGGACATGACGCGCTTGCCAAAGTCACCGGGCGGCGCGGGGACCGACTCCACGTACAGCGCCGCCTGCCCGCCGCGCGACCGGAAGCAGCGCGCCAGGCGCCGCGGCGCGCCGTCCTCGTCCTCGAAGAGCGGCGCGAGCGAGCGCGGGCCCTCGAGGAAGAGGCGCGCGCCGGCGGCGCGCTCGCCCAGCCGCACGCAGCCCCGGAAGTCGTGGCCCGCGCCGCCCAGGCGCAGCAGCACGCGCAGCGCGCCGCGCGGGTACGACCAGTCCAGGCGGCCCTGCGCGCAGCGCAGGTACACGGGGCTCACGCCGCGCTCGGGCCCCGACAGCCCGCTGCAACACACATACACACGCATATGTTAGATACAGGGCTCACGCCGCACTCGGGCCCACACAGCCCGCTGCAACACACACACGCGCACACATGTTAGATACAGGGCTCACGCCGCGCTCGGGCCCCGACAGCCCGCTGCAACACACACACACGCACACAGACACGGGGCTGACGCCGCGTTCAGGCCCCGACAGCCCGCTGCAACACACACACGCGCACGCGCGCACACACACACACACACAAAATGTTAGACACGGCTCAAGCCACGCGCGGGCCCCGACAACCCGCTCAATGCACATACTCATTGTGTCGTTAGAGAGGTCTCCCTACATTTGGGCCCTGACAACCTGCTGCAATATACACAGAAACACACAGGCGTTAGAAGGCACTGTTGTTTAGATATATTTAGAGGATTAACTTTGTTTGCGCACCGACAATACTACTACTTTTCAAAAATATATAGGCCAAAAGTTTGAATAATTCACAAAATAATATTGACTAACAAGACAGAGAATTTGAAAATTAATGTCCGCGACATCTAGAATGAAAACCGACAAACGATTTCTCTACAATGTCAACCCGTTTAAGCGAGAATCACCTTTCCCATCAATTCCGCCGTCAAACAGCAAACGCGGCAGCCAAAACGTGCGACAGCCCGCGGAATCTCCTTCAGCCTGGCTCTCCCGCCGCGGGCAGGCGTTCCCAGGAGACGGAACTGGGCTCCGAAACGGCACAAAGAGAGCTGGCGCCTTTCGCCTGGCATCGATAGCGCGCGGACCCAGCGCCCACTTTTTGCCCGCGAGAGCGCGCCCAGACGGGACGGCGGGGCCCCCGCCGCAAAAGTCAGCGTCGGCGCCTGCTCCGCACACAGTGGGCCACAACGCATGGCGCAAAAATAAAATAAAATAAAATAAAAAAATAAAAAGCCCCTGTAATATTAACGATTTTAGGCCTTCATACATTGAAAACATAGACGTAAGTAATAAGAGTTTCTCATTTTTCGATGAAACGAAATTGAAAATAACAGTAGGCCAAAAGTAAATATTTATGGAAACCAATAGTCTCGAATTTGGATGCAAGAGATTCCAATTATCAGAGTCGCATTCACAATCGAGTTCACGGAGTGCACTGTTTTCCCAACTTTCATATTCATATATTTTTTCTTCTTGTGTAATTAATCATGCTCACTTGACAAATCGATCATTCGATTCATTATTAAATACGTATTATAAAGTAGAGAAAACACTACGAACGACCCATGCTTTAAAATAGAATTGTAATAGTAAATTGTTTCAGATTGGAACGTAATATCCGCTCCTGAAAAGGTAATTACAGATAATCGAGAAAACATAACTTGAAATAAATTAAAATTTTTGACGAGCAAGTCGATAATAAACCCCACATAGAATTAATGATACTGATTGGAAATAAAGAAAAATCTCATTATTTGATTAATTCTCTCAAATGAACACATCGTATTCCTTAAATACGTACAACATACATGCTAATCTAACTAAAGCCTTAACCGGGAATACATATACTAACTAGAAATTATGCATATCTTGATTATATTTGTTACGTTCAACGAATTTTATCAGTTCAAGTGATTCCTCGTTTTTTGCATCAAAAACAAAAACAAATAAATTAAAAAATCAATATATTTGTGCTGCCTTCGATCTATTTGGGCCCACTGTGGCGGCCGCTGCTGGCGCGTGGCTCGGTCGGTTGGCAGCAGCACCGGGAAACTGGCCGCTCAGAATGCCAACGCGCTGTGCCGCCTCGAAGGACACACTCCGCCGTCGCTGGCGCCGGCGTCGACTTTTATGACAATCGCGCACGCGTCGGCTCAAATCACGTTTGCGAAGACGTTTAGCGGCGCACGACCGTACCGTGAATACGGAAACCGGCCTCAAAAGTCGCAAGAACTGAGAGGCCCGAGCGACCGTCATTTGTCACAGGCGTTTGTTGTCGGTTCGGTCGTCATTTGTCGTTCGTTGATCTTGTTATTCTCTGCTCAGCACAGAGTTGTATATGAGATATTACATCTCTCCTCGAAATTGAAACAAAATGGGATCGTTTTTAAGTTGATGGTTTTTATCTATGTTCATAATTTTTTTTAAAAAAGTATTTTTTAAATTGTTGATCTGTACTAAACTGTTGTTCAATAATCAACACGGCTTTACAGATATTCAATCTATATTTTTGTTACATTAAATCAACAAATAGTAAAATGTGCTATTAAGGCAATATGAAAGTTTAGGTTATATTTCTCTTCAGTACATGAATCGAACGAGCACCGTTATGCAACATAAAAAGCGACTTGTTTAAACCAATTTTTGCAATACTTTTCTTTTAATTGAACGACTATCAGCAAATAAATTAATCAAAATCATTATTAACAATTGCATTTTATTAACTTTAACACGATTCAAGTGAATGAAACATTCTGTAAGCATTAAACGAAACTATTGTGCAACGATATCTTCTTGGAATTACTTAAAAAGCAGAAAAGTACTGGTTAACTGAAATGAACAAAACAATTTTTGATAATAAATGCACTACATTTTGTGATCACACATAAAATAGTTTGCCTCTTGAAGTTGAAATCCAATGATCACAGTCAAAAAAAGTTGTTTCTATCATTATATTGCCATTCAGTACGTTTATGGGCATCATGTGTGCATCAGGCGTAGCAACTATTGTAGATAACCACGTGTTCGTCGAATTTGGTATAACAAATCCAAATTCGAAAAACCATTCCTCCAGACACCTTCCTTTAAATAGAACTCGTTGTTCGAGTCTCAAATTTTCGATAGGTTCCACAGTGGAGAAGTTAATTTCACGTATAACAGACCGACACATTAAAATTTTCCTTGGGACTCGAGCTTCATATTCCAAGTCCGGGTCGGAAAGATCTTGATACCCCCGCCACAGAATTTTTCCAGTGTCTGCATCTCGAAGGACCATCCAGTTTACTTGAAAACCCGACATAAGGTCATCGACTCGGGGGCACATCTTCTTGTGTTGAAGTAATAAACAAGAACGCCGTATCGAAGAGCAAAATTTGCAATTACAAACAACCATTCCGCAAAATAAATAGTTTTCAACAATTAAAACAAACACGTCACGCTTCCACGATTTTGAAAGATTTACAAAACAAAATGGATGCATTTCATAAAACACATATTGTATAATTATGAATCGAATTGTCATTTGTCAAATCTAAAAAATATCATACAACAGATTAAAATTTCCTCTCTGAGCAGAGCACTTAATTCTTGAAATGTTTCACGTAACCAGATGTATTATTTACTATTTATACGAAAATTTTACTAGTAAAAATATACTAATATTCTGTAAATGTAATTCCTCAATTAACTGAAATACATGGAGATTTCGGAGGTGTGCCACTTCCCTTGTGATCTTAATTTCCTTTTAACACTTATAGCTATATAATGGTTCAATAAAGTATGGCGTTCTGATGTAGGGCCGATCCTTTTTTTACTTTGAGACAACAAAAAGTGTATTTTAAAAAAAAATGTATTTATCCATAGAAGATTATGGTTCCTATGGATAAATATTTTACTAAAATATAATTCGATTATTTCAAAACACAGAAGCGCATTGGTTACTAATGTTATACTCAAACAGAACGTATTCATTGTGTCAATTGCTTACGTTATAAATATAAACTATAAGCCAACAAATGCATTTTATATTTAGCAAAAAATGAAAAATTATTTATAAAAACCAAGTCAGCGGGACACTATAACTGCAAACCCCCTCTTCCTTCTCCGACAAAAATCCTGGTAGGGCCACTACAAAAAATATATAAATGAATAATTTAAAATAAATAATTTAAAATCAAGACAACCACTAGTGGTTCTTGTAAGTACAAGACTATTTTAGACTAAATTATCATCGCTTTTTGCAAGATCGGATCCAGAGATTTTGGGAGGGGAAATTAAAAACGTTTAGGTCAAATGTGTTATTACAGATTTTGTAAAATGTCGCAGGCTACACTGACCTCATTCTGCGATACAATTTTATTCATTTTAATGCTCACCCGAAAATAGTATTGCTTGAAAGTATTGTGGTAGGTTAAACTTAATAGTTACCGAAACATTTTAAGGGAGGCGGAATTTTCCTCCGCGTGTATCCACACCTGCTTTTGCATTAACCGGGAGACATGAGTAGTTCCTTGGTGTTCATATGTGATCCATTTGCTCCGAAGCTTGAATCAAAAAACACTGATTTGACGAATAAGACAAAGTTTTAATGAGGAAGGAAACCATGGCAAAATTTAGTTTTAACTTTAAATGTCGACGAACATGCACTCGAAACAGTTTGAAAAGGAGTATTTATATAATATAACTCAAAATTATTTCAACACGCAGCTGAGAGTTCTTCGTCGAAAAAGGACAATAGCAACTCCACCTGCGTACATACGCAGAAAATAGTACAATTAAAATTAAGAGTACTTCGTGAATTGTGAAAAATTTTAGGAAAGAGGAATTTTTATTCCCGTGGATCCGCGCCTGCTTTTGGATTAACCGGGAGACCTGGTGAGCCTCGGCTGAAGGCTGAATCTCATAATTCGATCTCCGCACCAGGTCGGCCTCGACGCCAGCGGAGGGGCTTCCTAGAGTCTCCGCCGAAGGCCGGCGGCGGCGGCGGTGGTGGGCGGGGAAAGCGGGGCGGCGGCGGCACGCCCGCGCCTGGGGCGTCCGCGGGCGGGAGGTGAGGGGGAGGGGAGAGGGCGTGGGCGGCGGGGCGTGGCTGTGCGCCGCGGGGCGAGAGAGCGGGCGACCGGCCGGCCGACCGACGCCCACGCGAGCGCCGGAACAAACGAGCACGACCCCCCTCCCCCCACGCGACACGCGCCCGTGCCGGCGGGAAGCGGCAGATAAGAGGGAGTTTGGGCCACATCGTTAAAGGCGTGAGGTAATAAAAACCTTCGATGGCTTGCTCATGCGCAGTTCAAGTTTGGCACCATTTTTGTGTATCTGCGCATACGCAGAAGTTCCATATTGCTACACTGAGGCTGACTCCTTAATAAGTCTTTCGCGAGCCACGAGGAATTAATAGATCCGACGGCATTGTTAAGTTGCACATCCCGCTCTTGAAATCTTCATTTGGTCTGGTACCTTTTCCTGCTGAAATTTATTGTTTACGCTAATGAAAATTTATTATCATTTTCCTTTTTTTAATTCCTTCTTTCGATATCTTAT